CATTAGGCGAATCACTTTGCTTCTCTTTACTTTGTGTCCTCCTTTGAGTCCATCCAAGCTGTGGGAGGCTGAAATGAGACGCTGTGCATAAAAATGATCTGCTCAGGGCCTCAGGGTGGTGGTAATGGGCCTGCTGTCCCGGCTGCCATTACATGTTCCTCCCAGCCCTCTAGTCCCGGGGTCACTGCTGGGCCCAGACCTGCTTTCCCCATTCCAAGCCCTAGGCTCAACCCCAGTCTACACCAGCCTTGATGCCCTGCCCATTACAGCACCCTCTCAGACCCCTGTTGCTTGACAGCTCAGCTCAAAGAGACGCCTTCCGGTACACCCATGTTACCCAACTCTACAGTAGGGAAATGGGTCCAGAGAGGGCAAAGTTCTCCCCCAGGGACACACAGCGGATTGAGTTCTTAGAGGGTTGGGGAACTGAGGTGAGAGCCACTGCCTTTTCTAAGACCGGAAGTGAAGCCCGAGTGCGCCGCTGGGCCGGAGCCAGGTTAACACCATTTACAGAGAATACCAGGAATGCCACGTCTGCTGGTCCACCGCTCATTCTCCACGCACCCCCACCCATCACTGGAGTCTCTCTCCCAAAGGCGTTATGCAGGTCTTGGGGTCACAGAGTCCACAATAGGGAACAGTCACACACATTCAAGCCTCCAAGAGCCCAGTTCCACCCTCACCGCTCCGTCCTGCACCACTTAGGGGTCCAGCCCTTTCTCCAGAATCCCATCCTCACCCCACCCCTTGTTCTGCTGTTATTAAAGCCCCTTCCCATACCTCAATCCCACCCTTAGACTATGGGTCGCCGCCTTACTTCCAAGTATTACTCTCTAGCCACACCCTTCTCAGATTTTTGGCCCCTCCTCTGTGACCTGAGCTCTGTCCGCGTGCGCGTGAGGTCCGACCAAGCGCCAACCCCCTAGCCCCGCCCCCGAACTGCCCCCGCCCCACGAGGGCACAGCCCCTCCCTATCAGGCTCGCCTCTCACCCACTTCTCAGGTTTCCTCTGGCGTCCCCACACCGCCCTTCCTCTGCAACCCCGCCCCTCGCCCCGCCCCCTTGACAGCGGCCCCAGGGCTCCTCCCGGCTAGAGTGGACGGAACCGTGGAGCCTTGCAGCGGGTCCGAGAGATCAGGAGGCCCTCGCGCTTCCTTAAAGGGAAGATGCCGGAGTGGGTGGGCTCGCACGGCCGGCGTGAGCCGTGCCCAGGGGCTTGTAACTCGAGGACCCGTTTAAGGGCCGCTTTTAAGCGCGATGGCAGGTTCCGGGCGAGGTCCGGACCTAGCGCCCCATGCGGTGCCTCGTCGCCCACCTCAGGAGCTGAGGCGGGCGGAGTTGGTGGAGATCATCGTGGAGACGGAGGCGCAGACCGGGGTCAGCGGCATCAACGTAGCAGGTGGCGGCAAGGAGGGAATCTTTGTCCGCGAGCTTCGGGAAGATTCGCCCGCGGCTAGGAGCCTCAGCTTACAAGAAGGTGGGCGTGGCTGGAGCATGGGGCGGGGCCTCTCGGAGGGGGCGGGGTTAGGAGTGGGCCCTGGGTCCGGGGCGTGGCTGGCGGCGAGGAGGCGGGGAGGAAGGCTTGGGGCGGGGCTTTTCGTGGAGACCTTGCAGTGAGTGGCCCAGAGCCGGCTCTGGAGCTTCATTAGGTCGGTTTGACTCCCAGATCTGCAGTTTAGTAGCTTGTGAATTTCTGTGTTTTGGTTTTTTCACCTCGAAAATGGGAATGATTCTAGTACTCACCTCATAGGGTTATTACACGGATCAAATGAGTCAGTATTTGAAAACGGTGCATAGCTAAGTGGCACATAGTAAGCACGATGTAAGCACTAGTTATTTTTGTTGTTGGGACTGGAGAAAAGAGGTGGAGTTAACAACTTGGAGGGGGTGTGGAGGGGTTCTTAGGGATGTTTTAGGTGACATAGATGAGGCCGCTGTGGTTTATTCATGCAACAACTATTTACTAAGTGCCTGCTATTTACAGATATTATTCTAGGTGCTCGGGCTACTGCAGTGAACAAAATAGACAACAGTCTCTGCACTTATGGAGCTTACCTTCTAGTAGGGAGAGACCTATCTGAGCAAAATCTGTAAAATACATAGTAAGTTAGAAGGCAATATGTGCTATGGGAGCCAGGAGGACAGTTATATTTTTTCCTTTTCTCTTTTTTTAGAGAGAGAGCGAGTGAGCCAGCTGGGGAGAGGGGCAGAGGGAGAGAGGGGGAGAAAGAGAGAGAGAGACAGAGAGAATCTTAAGCAGGCTCTGCACTCAGCACAGACCCTGATGCGGGGCTCGATCCCAAGACCCTGGGATCATGATCTGAGCCAAAATCAAGCAATGGATGCTCAACTGACTGAGCCACCTAGGCACTGCAGAACAGTTGTAATTTTAAGGAGGATGAGCCAGGAAGGGAGGAAAGGCCTGGTGGAGGACAGGGAGTGAGCTCTGTGGCCATTTGGAGGAACATAACATGCGGAGAGAACGGCCAGTGCAAACACCCCAAGGTTGGGGTATGCCTAACTTGATGGAGGAAAAGCAAGGAAGCCAGTGTGGATGGAATAGAGTTAGAGAAGAGGAGAGTAAGAGAGAAGGCCAGAGAGGTAAGGAAAGTGCAGTTTTTAGAGGGCTTTATAGACCATGGATTTGGGCTTTTACGTGGAGGAGGAACATGAATTGGCTGTTTCGAATAGCATCCTGTATTAGCAGTAGGCTGAAGGAAGCACGGTGGGGAGCGGGGAGACCAACAAAGAGGCTACTCTGGGGCACCTGCTGGCTCAGTTGGTAGAACATGTGACTCTTGACCTCAAGGTCGTGAGTTTGAGCCCCACGTTGGGTGCAGAGATTCACTAAAATGAAATGAAATAAAGAGGCTACTCTGATTATCCAGGTAAGAGGAGATGGTGATTCTCAAAACAGTGTTAATGGAGTTGAAGAGAAAGGTTTGGATTCTGGATGTATTTTAAAGGAGAGGAGCCTTCAGGACTGGATATGGGGTATGATGAAAAGAGAGGGTTCAAGGATGTGTCCAGGGATTCTTAACCTGAGGATGGAGTTGGTAGTTCCACAGATGGGGCATTCTAGGGCTGGAACTTGTTTGAGGTAAGACCACATTGACAGTTTGGATCTGTCACGTGAGGGGTATCTATTAGACTCCAAAATGAAGATATGGAGGGGTAAATGGATATATGAGTCCAGGAGGGAGGGGAGAGTGCTGGGCTGGAGAGATACACTTGGGAATTGTCAGCCCATTTCTGTTCTTCAAACTCCTGACTCTGGACAAGCTTCCTAAAGAGGTGGATGTAGCATGTAAAGAGGTCCAAGGCCTGAGCTCTGGGACAGTGTGTCTTTAAGAGATCCAGGAGATGGGAAGGTAGTTTCCCAGGAGGCTGAGAAGGAATCTCCAGGAAGGTTCTAGAGGGTGTGTGGCATCCCAGAGGCCAAGCCAAACAAGTGGATGAAGGGGAGAGAGTCGTTAGGTCAAAGGTTGTGAAGTCCACTCAGATGAAGTCTGGGACTTGCCCATTGGACTTAGCTACACAGAGGTATGGGACCTTGAGAGGAGCAGCTCAAGGTTCTGGGAGGGGGTGTCAGAAGTGTGATTGGAGACGTGGAAACATGCAGTTGTCCACATGCAGCTGGACAACTCAATGCATTTGCCATTAAGGTGAACAGATATGTGGAACGGGAGATCCGGGAGTGAGGTCAAGACAACTTTTCATATGGGATAAGTAATGCTATGTTATATGCTGATGGGAATAACATAGAAGAGAAGGACAAACTGATGATGTGGGGAGAGAGGGGAGAATTGCTCGAGGATGTCCCTGAGAAGGTGGCAGAAAGATTGACCTGAGGGAGGGGTGATGACAGTTCATCCTTAGGAACTGGTGGAGTAAATTACCACAGGAGCAGGTGCGGGAGCGCAGTGGGGAGAGGGGGTGGGAATGAGGGAGGGGGTGGGAGTTTCTAGAAGTTCTTTTCTGATTCTTTTCTCTCAGTAAAGGAAACGAAGTCAAGTGTCTAAAACATGAGAATGGGAGAGGGAAGTGGACAGGCAATGGGCGTGGCTCGAATGGGCGTAGATTTGCTGGGGAGGTGGAACTAAGGCCATGGGGCGGGGCTTCACGCTTGAGTATCTGGACCTCAAACTGCGAGGAACTTTGCTTCTCTGCGCTGGGAGGGGGCAGGATAGGCAGGGCCAGAGTCTTGGGCTGGGCCTCTGAGCTAGCTCCAGGGAAGTGGGTGGGGCCGGGCATGGATGGAGCCTAGAGAATGCCCACGCCCCGCCCATCTCCGCCTCATCTGCAGGGGACCAGCTGCTGAGCGCCCGTGTGTTCTTCGAGAACTTCAAGTAAGAGGACGCGCTCCGCCTGCTGCAATGTGCCGAGCCTTACAAGGTCTCCTTCTGCCTGAAGCGCACTGTGCCCACCGGGGACCTGGCGCTGCGGCCTGGGACCGTGGCTGGCTACGAGATCAAGGGCCCACGGGCCAAGGTGGCCAAGCTGGTACGCGTGCTTAGCCCGGTCCCAGCTCTGGACCGCCCCAGCGATCCAGTCTCTGCGCCGTGAGCCCCACTCCCCCACACCATGGGCCGGCCTTGCCCTCTGTCTTGTCACTAACCCAACTCTAACCCCACCCTCTGCCTCCTGTTCTCCACCCCTAAACTCCTCCCTGGGGAGGAGGACCTACCCATCTCAGACCAAGGCCTTCACCCACTTTGGAGAGGCAGCAGCTCTAGGTCCTGAGCCGGGGCAGGGCGGGGGAGGGACTCCAAATCAGGGAGGGCAGGTTCAAGCCTGAGGGCTGCTCACTTACTGCTGAGTGACCCTGGACAAGTTTCTTTCCCTTTCTGGGCCTCAGTTTCCCCATCTCTAGAATGAGGGAATTGGGGAGAATCCTGGAGGAGCACCTAGAAGTCTTGGGTCCCAGGTCCTACACTCCTGTTGACTCATTGTCAGATGCTCAATGAAAGTCTTTGCCTTAGGGAGGCAGTCAAGGTGAAATGACAGGAAGGAAGTGGGGATGGCGATCTGGGGACAAGGTGCTTTGTCCAACACATTCCCAGCCTGGTGCAATACCAGCTGGGGATCCCCCTGCCTACCCCGAGCCTCCCACTGTCCCACCGCCTCCCGCATCTCTCCTCTCTCCCCAGAACATCCAGAGTCTGTCCCCTGTGAAGAAGAAGAAGATGGTGGTACCCGGGGCCCTGGGGGCCCCTGCAGACCTGGCCCCTGTTGACGTCGAATTCTCCTTTCCCAAGTTCTCCCGTCTACGTCGGGGCCTCAAAGCCGAGGCTGTAGAGGGTCCCGTCCCAGCTGCCCCCACCCGCCGGCGCCTCCAGCTGCCTAGGCTGCGCGTCCGGGAAGTGGCGGAAGAAGCCCAGGTAGCCCGGCTGGCCGCCGCCGCTCCTCCCCCGAGGAAGCCCAAAGTGGAGGCTGAGACGGCGGCAGGAGCCCGCTTCACAGCGCCCCAGGTGGAGCTGGTTGGGCCCCGGCTGCCAGGCGCCGAGGTGGGTGTCCCCCAGGTCTCAGCCCCCAAGGGGCTGGGAGAGGTGGTCCGCCACCTGCCGAGCCTTGGACTAGGAGCCCCAGCCGCACCTGCTGTGGAGCCCGCAGCGCGAGGGATCCAGGTCCCTCAGGTGGAGCTGCCCGCCTTGCCCTCGCTCCCCGCTCTGCCCACCCTGCCCTGTCTGGAGACCCGGGAAGGGGCTGCAGCGGTGATGGTGCCCACCCTGGACGTGGCAGCGCCCACCGTAGGGGTGGACCTGGCCTTGCCGGGTGCGGAGGTGGAGGTCCGAGGAGAGGCACCTGAGGTGGCCCTGAAGATGCCCCGCCTCAGTTTCCCCCGCTTCGGGGCTCGTGCAAAGGAAGTTGCTGAGGCCAAGGTGGCCAAGGTCAGCCCCGAGGCCAGGGCCAAGGGGCCCAGACTTCGAATGCCCACCTTTGGGCTCTCTCTCCTAGAGCCCCGACCCGCTGCCGCCGAGGCTGCTGTCGAGAGCAAGCTCAAGCTGCCCGCCATCAAGATGCCTTCCTTTGGCATTGGGGTCTCGGCCCCTGAGGTCAAGATGCCCAAGGGGCCAGAGGTGAAGCTCCCCAAGGCTCCTGAGGTCAAGCTCCCGAAGGTGCCCGAGGCAGCCCTTCCAGCCGTGCAGCTCCCCGAGGTGGAGCTCCCAAAAGTGTCAGAGATGAAGCTCCCGAAGGTGCCCGAGATGGCCGTGCCCGAGGTGCGCCTCCCGGAAGTGCAGCTGCCGACGGTCCCCGAGATGAAGCTCCCTGAGATGAAGCTCCCGAAGGTGCCCGAGATGGCCGTGCCCGAGGTGCGCCTCCCGGAAGTGCAGCTGCCGAAGGTCCCCGAGATGAAGCTCCCGAAGGTGCCCGAGATGGCCGTGCCCGAGGTGCGCCTCCCGGAGGTGCAGCTGCCGAAGGTCCCCGAGATGAAGCTCCCTGAGATGAAGCTCCCGAAGGTGCCCGAGATGGCCGTGCCCGAGGTGCGCCTCCCGGAAGTGCAGCTGCCGACGGTCCCCGAGATGAAGCTCCCTGAGATGAAGCTCCCGAAGGTGCCCGAGATGGCCGTGCCCGAGGTGCGCCTCCCGGAAGTGCAGCTGCCGAAGGTCCCCGAGATGAAGCTCCCGAAGGTGCCCGAGATGGCCGTGCCCGAGGTGCGCCTCCCGGAGGTGCAGCTGCCCAAGGTCTCAGAGATGAAAGTGCCGGACATGAAACAGATGGCCGTGCCCGAGGTGCGCCTCCCGGAGGTGCAGCTGCCCAAGGTCTCAGAGATGAAAGTGCCGGACATGAAACTGCCTGAGATGAAACTCCCTGAGATAAAACTCCCCAAGGTGCCTGAGATGGCTGTGCCTGATGTCCACCTGCCAGAGGTGCAGCTGCCGAAGGTGTCGGAGATGAGGCTGCCGGAAGTGCAGGTTCCGAAGGTCCCAGATGTGCAGCTTCCAAAGGCACCCGAGGTGAAGCTGCCCAAGGCTCCGGAGCTGCGGTTAAAAGCCGAGCAGGCAGAGGGGGTGGAATTTGGCCTCAAAATGCCCAAGATGACCATGCCCAAGCTGGGGAGGGCAGAGTCCCCACCACGAGGCAAGCCGGGCGAGCCAGGGGCTGAGGTCCCCGGGAAGCTGGTGACGCTCCCCTGTCTGCAGCCGGAGGCGGGCACCGAGGCTCGGGTGGGTGTCCCCTCTCTCTCCCTGCCCTCAGTGGAGCTAGACCTGCCACGGGCCCTCAGCCTGGAGGGGCAGGCCCCAGCAGCTGAAGTGGGCAAGGTGGAGCGGGCAGAGGGCCCTCGCGTAGCGACAGGGGTCGGGGAAGTGGCCTTCCGGCTGCCATCCGTGGAAATCGTCACCCCACAGCTGCCCACGGTGGAAGTGGAGGAAGGGCAGCTGGAGGCGATGGAGATGAAAGGCAAGCCCTCCTCTAAGTTCTCCTTGCCCAAGTTTGGACTCTCAGGGCCCAAAGTGGCCAAGGCGGAGGCTGAGGGGGCTGGGCGAGCCGCCAAGCTGAAGGTGTCCAAGTTCGCCATCTCGCTCCCCAAGGCCCGAGCGGGGACTGAGGCCGAGGCTAAAGGGGCAGGGGAGGCGGGGCTACTGCCCGCCCTCGATCTGTCCATCCCGCAGCTCAGCCTGGATGCCCATCTGCCCACGGCCAAGGTGGATGTGGCCGGGGCTGACGTCAAGCTCAAGGGGCCCAGGTTTGCCCTGCCCAAGTTTGGGGCCAAAGGCCGGGACACGGAGGCGGGAGAACCGGCGTCGGGGGTGGCCGAGTTGGAGGGCAAGGGCTGGGGTTGGGACGGGAAGGTGAAGGTGCCCAAGCTCAAGATGCCGTCCTTCGGGCTGGCTCGAGGAAAGGAGGCCGAGATCCAGGGCGGGCGTGGCAGCCCAGGGGAAAAGCCAGAGTCCATGGTTGGCCAGCTTAAGATCCCCGACGTGGAGCTGGTCACCCTGGGGGCCCAGGAGGATGGGGGCGCCGAGGGGGCGGCAGCCGTCAGTGGAGTTCGGCTCTCGGGCCTGCAAGGGTCCACGGCCAGGCAGGCAGCCACCGAGGGACAGGAGGCAGCGCTGAGGATGCCCCTGGGCATCTCCTTGCCCCAGGTAGAGCTGCCCAGCTTCGGGGAGGCTGGCCTGGGCGCCACCCCCGGGCAGCAGGTCAAGGGTGCAGCCCCTTTGGCAGAGGGCACAGCAGGCTACAGGGTCCAAGTGCCTCAGGTGACCTTGTCTCTGCCTGGCGCTGGAGCCCAGGTGGCGGGTGGTGAGCTGCTGGTCGGTGAGGGCGTCTTCAAGATGCCCGCTGTGACGGTGCCCCAGCTCGAGCTGGACGTGGGGCTGAGCCGAGAGGCGCAGGTGGCTGAGGCAGCCACGGGCGAGGGTGGCTTGAGGCTGAAGATGCCCACCCTGGGGGCCAGGGCCGAAGCCGGGGAAGAGGGGCCCCCAGGGGCCGAGCGCACCTTCCGCCTCTCGCTGCCCGACGTGGAGCTGTCGCCACCTGCTGTGAGCAGCCACGCCGAGTACCAGGTGGCAGAGGGCGAAGGGGATGCTGGACACAAGCTGAAGGTGCGGTTGCCCCGCTTCGGCCTGGTTCGGGCCAAGGAGGGCGTGGAAGAGGGCGAAAAGACCAAGAGCCCCAAACTCAGGCTGCCCCGAGTGGGCTTCAGCCAGAGCGAGGCTGTGCCTGGGGAAGGCTCCCCCAGCCCGGAGGACGAGGAGGAGGAGGGTGGCGGGGAGGGGGCCCCCGGGCGCCGAGGCAGAGTCCGAGTCCGCCTGCCTCGCGTGGGCCTGGCCGCCCCTTCCAAGGCCTCTCGGGGACAGGAGGGCGACGCAGCCCCCAAGTCCCCCAGCGGGGAGAAGTCACCCAAGTTCCGCTTCCCCCGGGTGTCCCTAAGCCCCAAGGCCCGGAGCGGGAGCGGGGACCAGGAAGAGGGTGGATTCCGGGTGCGGCTGCCCAGTGTGGGGTTTTCGGAGACGGGGGCTCCAGGCCCTGCCCGGTTGGAGGGGGCTCAGGCTGCTGTCATCTGAGGGCCCCCCCCCTCCCCGGGGCTGAGGGAGAGTCCCCTCCCATCTTCCCAACCCCGTCTAGTCCTCGTTTTCTGTGTGACATAACTAGCACTAACCCCCAGAGGGCCGGGAGGTGGGGACTGACCTGACCGTGAAGAGGCCGGGAGGCAGGACTGCCTGTATCTTGCCAAGCCATGTGAATAAAATAATCCAGACGTAGCCTTGTGTTCTGTTTCCTCTATGTGTGGGGGTGGGGAGGGTGGGAGGGGGCGGGGAGCAGGAGAGGGTGGAGGGGGTGCAGGAAAAGAGGTCCCTGAGGAGGAAGGAAGGGGGCTTGAGCCTGGCCTGAGGAGAGCCTGCGTTTGGGGGACACACAGGCCACCCCTGGTCTGGAGAGGGTCAGGGAAGTCGTGTAGGGGGCGGGGTGGGAAGGGGCCATTCAGAATTCCCAGGGGCCTCTGAGCAAGCCCCCTCTGCTGGGGACTCTGCCGGTTCTGGGGGAACCCCGCCCACCAGGACGTCCCTGGGGGCGCCCTAAGAGAGCAGGATCGCTACCCATCTGCCCTCTGCTGGCCACCTTCACACCCACAGGAGTAGCTCCACGTCCTGGCAATCCTTTCCTGTCTAGCTGGTTTGACTGTCCCGGCCACCCTTGGCCCCCTCCAGGAAGGCCCCTCCTGGTCCCCTCTCACGGCTCCTGGGCTCAGAGACTCCACCCCAGATACCTGGCTGCCTCTTAGGACTAGGTCCCAGGGTCCTCAGCTGCTATCAGGGCTGGGCTTTGGCTCCCGGGGACCGGTCCCCACTCAGGATCTAAGCCCCCACCAGGGCCTCCAGGTTCCTCCACATTTCTCTCTGCGATGCCCGATACCAGACCAAGAAGACACTCCATCTAGTCGGAGATGTCCCCCTGAAGCCCCCATATCAGCCCCTCCACTCTCATCACATCTGGCTATGCCCTCGAGTTGTCACAGACCCCTGATTTACCCCAGCCCCCTTCTCCTTTAAAACTGGGCTCCCTCGGGGCGCCTGGGTGGCTCAGTCAGTTGGGTGGGTGGCCGACTTCGGCTCAAGTCATGATCTCACGGTTCGTGGGTTCGAGCCCCGCATCGGGCTCTGTGCTGACTGCCAGCTCGGAGCCTGGAGCCTGTTTCAGAGTCTGTGTCTCCCTCTCTCTCTGATCCTCCCCTGCTCACGCCGTGTCTCTCTCTCTCTCTCTCTCTCTCTCAGAAATAAATAAAACACTAAAAATATTTTTAAAAAAAGTCTCGCTCAGGTCCCTCCCTGGTTGTGTACTTTCTCTTCATTCCTACCAAACATGGCAGGAATTTACATTCACGGTGTGCACCCTTTGCTTAGCCCCCCGGCATTTTGGGGGTTTCCCCTCCCACCATGGCTGTCCTGTGAGGGTCCATAGTGACCTCTCTGTGACCATGCAGAGGGCTTCCTCTGCTTCCCTCGTCCTGACTCCTCAGGGTCTCTTCCTCCTTCCTGAACACTCTCTCTTCTCTCTTCCCCACTCCCTCTCACTCCTCATGCCCCTGGGGCCCTCAGGACTCCTCCCAGGCCCTCATCCAGCCCTTCTTTAACACTGGGCTCCCCAGGTTTTTTTTTTTTTTTTTTTTTCTAGGAGAGAGAGACAGCGTGAGCAGGGGAAGGTCAGAGAGAGAGGGAGTCACAGACTGAAACAGGCTCCAGGCTCTGAGCTGGCAGTCAGCACAGAGCCCGACGCAGGGCTCGAACCCATGAACCGCGAGATCATGACCCAAGCGAAAGTCGGACGCTTAACCGACTAAGCCACCCAGGCGCCCCTGGGCTCCCCAGTTTTAAACACCTTTAAAACACCCTCCCCAGGCCATGTCACCCTCCCTGTGGTCCACACGGGAATCCAGTGGCCTCTGTACACCACCCCTGGACGACGTCTCCCGGGCACTGGGAGCATGTGTCGGGTAGTGGTTCAGAGTTTGCCTCTAGAACCAGACTGCTCGAGGCTAAGCCTGTCTCTGGGACCCAGCTGGGTGACTGTAGGCATTTTGTCAACTTCCTTGTGTCTTGATTTTCTCTTTCATAAAATAGAACTATTACAATGTATGTCATGGGTGGCTCAGCCCGTTAAGCGTCTGACTTTGGCTCAGATCATGATCTTGCAGTTAATGGGTTTGAGCCCCACCTCGGGCTCTGTGCAGACAGTGCAGAGCCTGGAGCCTGCTTCAGATTCTGTCTCCCTCTCTCTATGCCCTTCCCCTGCTTGCGCTCTGTCTCTCCCCCTCTCTCTCAAAGATAAATAAGATTAAAAAAAATAATAAATAAAACATGTCATAAGGATCAGATAAGGCTTCTAAAGCACTCAAGACATGTCTATATATCTCAGTGCCCAAGCTTCTTTTTTATTTAATTTTTAAAAATGTTTATATATTTTTGAGACAGAGAGACAGAGTGTGAGCAGGGGAGGGGCAGAGAGAGAGGGAGACACAGAATCTGAAGCAGGCTCCAGGCTCTGAGCTGTCAGCACGGAGCCCGACATAGGGCTCGAACCCATGAACTGCAAGATCATGACCTGAGTTGAAGTCGGATGCTCAGTTGACTGAGCCACCCAGGCGCCCCTCAGTGTCCAAGCTTCTAATCTGACACCAGCATCTTCTCCCCTAAAGTGCTCCTTATCCATATCCCAATCTCAGGGACCATCCTTGAGCCCTGGACCTTGTTCTGGATGGTTCCTTCTTTCCCCCACAAGCTGTCAGTCCCACAGCTTGGCCTTCTGTGTCATGTACCAGCCTCCTCCCCTGCACCCCAGCCCTCTCTCACCTGGGCTCCATTCCAGGCTCGGGCCTCCACTTTCATCCCCTCCACTCTCCTTCACACAGCAGCTTTCTGATGCTTCAATCTGATGCTGTCCTCCCCTGCTCACAGTCCTTCTGTGGCTCCCCAGTACCCTCAGATAAATGTGTCCAAATTCCTTAGCCTGGCATTGGAGACCTTTTACCACCTGGCCCTGCTTCAGTGACACCTCCCCTGTGGCAGCCACAGGCAGGGGTGGGTGTCTGCTGAACACAGGCAGGCGCACACACACACACACACACACACACACACACCTCCCCAGCCCTTCACCTCTGTTGAGGAATCTCCCAGTCCTCTGGCCTAGAAGTCCAGGATCAGACTTCTTTCTCAGTCAACCCTTCACCTGTCCAGCCCCTCCAGGGTTCCACCCCTGGGTGGGGGAGGGGGCTCGACCTGCCACCCCACCCCCCATTCCAGCCTGAGGCTCAGGTCTCCGACAACAGAACCAGAGCCACTCAGCAACGCTAGAACCCATTCAGGGGGGGCGGCCTGGGGCCCCTCGTCCCAAACCAGGAGGGATTTGGGGGAGGGGTGTGGCCCTTGGCAGACTGGCAGTGTGGCCCTGGGGGCTGGGGGTTGCCAGGGAGGTGGGGGCGACCCTCGAAGCGGGAGGCACGAGTGCAGTCCTCCTTCCCCCACTGGGGGGGCCTCTGAGCCGTCATCGGGGCAGAAGGCTTCAAAGACAAAGCCTGTGGGGCAGGGGCGGCAGCAGCGGGGTGTCTGGTGGCAGGAGCACCATGGCCACCATCCAGTCGGAGACTGACTGCTATGACATCATCGAGGTGCTGGGCAAGGGCACCTTCGGGGAGGTGGCCAAGGGCTGGCGGCGAAGCACGGGTGAGATGGTGGCCATCAAGATCCTCAAGAACGACGCCTACCGCAACCGCATCATCAAGAACGAGCTTAAGCTCCTGCGCTGCATGAGGGGCCTGGACCCCGAGGAGGCCCACGTCATCCGCTTCCTCGAGTTCTTCCACGACGCCCTCAAGTTCTACCTGGTCTTCGAGCTGCTGGAGCAAAACCTTTTCGAGTTCCAGAAGGAGAACAACTTCGCACCCCTCCCTGCCCGCCACATCCGCACGGTCACCCTGCAGGTGCTCAGGGCCCTGGCCCGGCTCAAGGAGCTGGCGATCATCCATGCCGATCTCAAGCCCGAGAACATCATGCTGGTGGACCAGACCCGCTGCCCCTTTAGGGTCAAGGTGAGTGGGGCGGCCCTGGGATGGCGGTGGCCCTCGTTCCCGTCTTCCCCCAGCCCTGGACATCCTCCGGTCGCCAGGGGCTCCCTTGTCTCCCCTCCCCCTCCCTCCCCCCCAGAAGTCTCCCCTGCCCTACCCTGCCCTTGATGCCTGTACCCACCTCCTGGTCCTAAAATCCTCCCTGTCTCCCTATCCCGATTCTGACATCCTGTCTATCACAGACCTGACGCCTCTCGTCCTTGTCCAGTCCCTAGCTCACGTCCTCTGGCCCAGTCCTGTCTTTGTGGGGCTGACATTCTGGTGGGGGAAACGGAGTCGCCAAGACAAATGAGTCAGATATGGTATATGAGTGAGAAGGAGAAAAGATAAAGCAGGGAGGAGGGTGTGGGGTGTTGACTGGTGGTGGCGGTGGTGATGCTGGATGAAACTGTAGACAAGGCCTCACTGGGAAGGTGACACTTGAGGAAAGTCCCAAAGGAGGGAGGCAGCCATGTAGACATGTGGGGGGAAGAATCTGGGTGGGAGGAACAACTAGTGCAAAGGCCCTGAGGTAGGAGCGGTCTGAATTTATGTGTTTGAGCAGCACCCCAGAGCCCAGAGTGGCTGAAGCAGGGTGAGAAGAGGGAGGTATGGGGATCAAGGAGGTGATGGGGCCAAGGTCATACAGGGCCTTGTGGGCCACAGTGAAGACTGGTTTTCTTCTCTGTCCGATGGGGCCACAGGGGGAGGCTTCCGAACAGAGAGGAGCTGAGAGCTGGCTCAGGTGTTCACAGCGTCCCTCTGGCTGCTTGAGGACTGTGAGGGGCAGGGACAGGAAGGCAGTGAGGGGGGGCCCTGCTCTGCTCCAGGTGGCTGGGACGGGGTCAGGGTTTCGGGGAAGGGACATGGTGGGTGCGTTCTAGGGTAGGCGTGGAGCACTGACTGATTTGCGGACTGATCTGTGTGAAGTATAAGCCAGGACCTGAGTGGGGTGGAAGCCTGATGGTCCAGGAGACTGTACGGACGGCAGTGCCGTTCTTCACCACGGACAGTTTGTTCATTAACAAGCATTCACTGAGCTCCTGCTCTGGACATGATCCTGTACTGGGCACACAGAGGCACCTCCGATGCAGGTCACAAGCCTCTGGTCTCCTCCATCCCATTCCTGGCCCCTCTGGTCTGCCTGCATCTCCCCCGTCCAGCCCTGATCCCTCCGCCAGGCCCCTCTGTCCACTTCCGGGTTTGTCACTGTCTGATGACAGGTCTGAGCTAGAAGCACCGTGAAAGCAGCCGTCGGCATCTCCCAGCACAGGGCTGTGGCAGAGACAATGCTAAGTGAATGTCAGAGTCACAGGGAGATACAGAGTCATGAAAAGGCAGATCATTTTGCCCTAAGAGATGGAAGGACAGAGACCCAAGGAAAGAGAGACGCCCACAAACACCGCAGGAGACGAACGGGACAGATCCACAACACCTGGCCAGTGCTGGCACCCCTCTCGTGTTTGTGGGATGGATGGATGGATGGATGGATGGATGGATGCATGGATGGACGGACGGATGGACACTGAGTGCCCAGGGTCCTGCAAGCTCTCTGAGATTCAGGCCTCAGCAGTTTGTATTTAGAGTCAGGATTAAGAACCATTTCATGATACCACCTCCTGCAAATAGAAGGTGAGGGATGGCTGAATGACAAGCAGAGAAACTCAGAGAGGGAAACTGAGGCAGGGACCAAGATAGAGTCTTGGAGATTCGGAGAGCACATGGCGCACGGCGTTGGGAGAGACAGACTTTCAGCCATTCACAGTGCTGGTTCAGCAGGCGCTCATCAAGTCCCTGTTGTGCTTGGAGGGCTTGCGAGGGCCGTTCACGGTGCCCGATGGTGAAGACGGAAGAGGGTCGGGGCTTCAGGGAGGTGTCTTCCCAGCAGTGACACAGAGATGGAGACGGAGAGAGACACCGAGAGATGAGAGGCACAATGAAGAGCCAAACAATGAAGAGGCAAAAAACCCACAAAAAACTAAGAGAGTTACAAACAAGGGGCCGAAAGAAAGAATGGCAGGGACATAAAGCCCATTCATTCATTCAATCACTCACTCATTCTTTTTTTACATTTTTTTAAATGTTTGTTTTTGAAGAAGAGAGAGACACAGCGTGAGCAAGGGCAGAGAGACAGGCATAGAATCCGAAGCAGGCTCCAGGCTCCAAGCTGTCAGCACAGAGCCTGACACAGGCCTCGAACCCACAGACCGTGAGATCATGACCTGAGCCCACGTCGGATGCTTAACTGACTGAGCCACCCAGGCGCCCCTCATTCATTCACTCCCTCACTCTTGACTGAGCCCCTAACTGTGTGCTGGGCACTGCTCTAGGCATCTAGGGAGCCAGCAATGAAATAGACAGAACCCCTGCCCTGATGGGACTCACCCTAGCTGGGTAGAGAGACAATGAACTCAGCTGAAAGGCAAAATATATGATGTGTGAAGTGGTGTTGGGAGCTCTGGAGAAAAGGAGAGTGCTGGGAAGGGGGAGGGGAATGGTGAGGCTTTTCACAGGAGGTCATGCTGAGGAGGTAACATCTGACTGAGATGAGAGAACTGTGTGTGGACATCTGGAGGAAGAGCATTCCAGGCAGAGGGATCAGCCAGTGCAAAGTCCCTGAGCTTATTCAATGCATCTGGCTTATTCAAGGGACAGTGAGAGGCCCGTGAGGGGGGGGAGCGGGGGCGGGGGGGAGGTGAGGGCAGAGAGGTGATGGGGCAGATTGCTCAAGCCTTGGGGGCCACAGTGAGGTCATGGGCTTCCATCACAGGATGTGATAAAGACACAGAGGTTTTCTGAGCAGGGGAAAGATGTACTCTGACTCAGGTCTTCACAGGATGGCTCAGGGTGCGTACGATGAGGAGATTGGGGCGCTGAAGGAGGAGACCCTCAAGGAGGACCCCACATAGGTCTCAGTGGGAGATGACTGCAGACAGGATGGGGGTGGGGGCGGGGAGAGGAGGTGGGGCTGCAGAGTGGAGAGATTCCGGGTCCATCCAGAAGGCGGAGCCAACAAGATTTGCTGATGGACAAGGTGTGGACCGAAGGACAAAGGGAGGGATCCTCACCCTCACAGGCATAAGTTCTAGAGGAAAGAAACAAACGGAGGGACAAACACCCAAACCAGAGACGCAGACTGGCAGAGACAGGGGCATAACTGAGAGATAAAGGCTCCCAGACACAGCGACGGTCAGATGGCAGACGCAGAAAGACACTGGCGAGAGACACCAGGGAGGCCTCGGTCGGCCGCCCCTGTCCCTTGCCCTGCCCACCCGCCTGCCTCCCACCGATGCAGGTGATCGACTTCGGCTCGGCCAGCATTTTCAGCGAGGTGCGCTACGTGAAAGAGCCTTACATCCAGTCGCGCTTCTACCGGGCCCCCGAGATTCTACTGGGACTGCCCTTCTGCGAGAAGGTGGACGTGTGGTCCCTGGGCTGTGTCATGGCCGAGCTGCACCTGGGCTGGCCCCTCTACCCGGGCAACAACGAGTACGACCAGGTGCGCTACATCTGCGAGACCCAGGGCTTGCCCAAGCCCCACCTGCTGCACGCTGCCCGCAAGGCCCACCATTTTTTCAAGCGCAACCCTCACCCCGAGGCCAGCAACGCTTGGCAGCTCAAGTCCTCGGCCGACTACCTGGCTGAGACCAAGGTAGGGGCGCCGGCGGGGGGAGGGCAGGCGGTGAGGCAGGGGTGGGGGGGCGGAGGGGGAGGGAGCTGCCACATCGAGGAAAAAAAAAATCTAGGTTAGATCTCAGAGGGGACCGGAAGTTTGAGGGTCAGCTGTGGGAGGGGTCACAGCACGAGAGCTGTGGGTGAGACCGGAAGGTGGCGCTGGTCGTGTGTGGCGGCTCCTCTGAGTTTCGTGGCCAGGGGTCAGCACACTAGTGTGGCAAAGAGGTCAGACGACTGGGAGGCGTGGGGGTGGAGGACTAGGGGCTGGACCCATGGCTCTGGGGAGGACTACGTGTGTGTGGGAGAAGTGAACCTTGGCTCAGACTCCGGGTTAGATGACAGGAGACCCCAGAACACAGCCAGCTACCTTTCCTGCAGCAGTAGGAGGGCTCTGGGTCACACTAGAGGAGGTCTGGTATGCGGGCCCTCCAGCAGCAAGAGAGCTCCAAGTCCGATCATGGGCAGAACCGGAAGTCTAGCTTCAGGCCCGTGGACTTCATAACAACAAGAGGGCTCCGGACTGGACTCGAGGGCAGACTGGGAGCTGCGGGGTGGTCACACGTGGGCCCCACTTCAGGAGCACCCAAGGCCCGGATTCAACGTCAATCTCATGCCCCACCAGGTGCGTCCCCTGGAGCGCCGCAAGTACATGCTTAAATCACTGGACCAGATTGAGACGGTGAACGGCGGCGGGGCGGCCGCTCGGCTGACCTTCCTGGACCGCGAGGCGCTGGCCGAGCACGCTGACCTCAAGAGCATGGTGGAGCTGATCAAGCGCATGCTGACGTGGGAGTCGCACGAGCGCATCAGCCCCAGCGCCGCCCTGCGCCACCCCTTCGTGTCCATGCAGCAGCTGCGCAGCGCCCACGAGGCCACCCGCTACTACCAGCTCTCGCTGCGCGCCTGCCGCCTCTCCCTGCAGGTGGAGGGCAAGACACCCACGCCGGCTGCGGCCGCTGTGGAGGACGGGTCCCCCTACTACCGTCTGGCCGAGAAGGAGGAGGCCGCGGGCATGGGCAGCGTGGTGGGCAGCGGGCCCTTCTTCTGCGAGGAGAAGGCGCCCGGCGTGCAGAGGGCCATCGACCAGCTGGATGACCTGAGTCTGCAGGAGGTGGGGCGTGGGCTGTGGGGGGAGGCCCGAGCCGATGTGGTTCCTGACATGCTGGCCCCACTCAAGGCAGCCGCCGCTGGCCGCCGGGTGCCCGACTCGGGCCCCGAGCCCATCCTGGCTTTCTATGGCAGCCGCCTGGCGGGCCGCCACAAGGCCCGCAAGCCACCCGCAGGCTCCAAGTCCGACTCCAACTTCAGCAACCTCATCCGGCTGAGCCAGGCCTCGCCTGACGACGATGGGCCATGCCAGGGCAGTGGCTGGGCAGAGGGAGAGCGCCGTGGGGCCTCCGCCGAGCCGCCCACCATCCCGCAGCGCGACGGGGATGGACCAGACATCAAGGATATGACCATGGATGCTGATGTAAGTGAGCCAGGTGGGCTGGCGGCGTGCAGGTGGCTCTGGGATCGGGGCCTCCCGAGCTCCAGCAGGGGTGTTATCTCCGTGGGCCAGGCCCTGCTCCCAGCACATCTGCATTGCCCGCAGCTGGCTCCAAGCTCAACACATACTAGTCCATTCTCAGGACGGGACAAGGTTCAGCAAACACGAACCCATGTTCAGGACGTGATTAGGATTTGATACAGCCCAGCGAATGCTAACCTGTGTTCAGGATACAACATTTAGCACCTGGGAGCCCACCCCTACCACGTGATAAGGCTCAGCACACACTGACCCATATTCAGGATACAAAATTCGGTACCTGCTAACCTACTCTTATAAGGTGACAAGGCTCAGCACATACTAATCCGCTTCTGGGCTGTGTAAAAACTAAGAATGTGGTAATTCACCTGTAGGGAGTGATAAAGGCCCAACCTGGAGGCTCACCGCCTCCCCTCCCCCGAAAGAAGTTCCCTCAGAACACCTTAAGATCTCTGCACACACCATTTAAGCCTCCAAAGTTGCAGTGAGGGTTCGGGACCAAAAACATCACCCTCAGGAAGTCACAAAGGTTCATTCAGGACTGGAGAGAGTCGGTGAGGGGCAGGCAGCCGGTTCCCAGGGCTGGGGGCTTCTCGGCTGATGGTCCTTTGTTCTCCTCCACAGAGGCCGGGCCCTGAGCTCTACGACCCCAGCAGCTGCCCTGGGGAATGGCTGAGTGAGCCGAACTGGACTCTGGATGGTGTCAGGGGCCCGCGGGCGCAGGGGCTCCCAGTCCACCACGTTCACCCGCACGGTCCGCCCCGGACCACCAGCTTTCTGCAGCACGTTGGTGGGCACCATTGATGGTGACGCCGCCCCTGCCCATCGCTGGGGGCTGCGCTAGCTGGGCTGGCATCCCCTCCTTAGAGCCATTTCCTGAACCCACAAATTATTCTTACAGAAAGATAGTTATCCAGAAATTCCCCATTCCCCTCGCCCCCGGTACATGCCAGCACACACGCCTTGAATGCAGGAGGGCCTTGCGGTCTGGCCTGTGGCCCCCTGGGCCAAAGGGACACAGGAAGGGGGCCACACCCTGCTGGCCCTGAGCATGCCCTTGGCCCTGCTGCCTCTGCCCATTTCAATAAAGAACTGTTCAGCAGCCCTGAGTGAAGCCTGGCCTGGAGCTAGGGTGGGGTTCAGGTTGGCGCCCAGGGCCCTGCTCCCCGATGCTGCACCCTGTGCTGCACTCGGGCTCTGGCCGGAGCTGGGAGGCTGTCGCACTGGGAGGGACAGGCCCGCTCGCCTGCTGACCCACCCCCTAAATGGGCTACGTGCTTGTGCGTGGGACTCGACCTTCCCATCATCCCCGGTGTTCCATCAAAGCTTGCCCAATGCCCTGGTCTCATCTGTTGGTTGACCTGCCCTTGCCGTGTGCCCAGGCTTGGCATGCACTCACCTAAGCTTGGGGTCGTGCGGAGCGTACATTCACTTGGCAGCCCTAAGCTCACGCTCGGTGCCCACTCCGGTGTTGAGACGTGGGAGTCCACCCCGGGGACACGGAGACGGTTCAATGGGTGCCCGTCTGGCTGAGAGGCTGGGAACGACGTGCTGAGTGTGCGGCAACGTGCTACCCCCTGCTGGCCATGTGGGGGGTCAGCCCGTACCAGTCCACGTTTCTGGTCCCACGCTACATGCTCAGCACCAGACTGGCCCGTATGCATTGCATGTGGAGGGCTCGGCGCGCACCGTGGGTTCAGTCCACGGCAAACCACACGGGTGACGTGCTTGAGGGCTCAGCAAACGCTACGTCTCCAGGAGATGCCTGTGCCAGCCGGCTCCTCCCCCAACAGTCCCTTCACATCACTGAGACAGGCACAGGCTGTAGAGACAACTTATTTACTTATTATAACCTTGAGCCCTCTTTGCCCTGGAAAGGGGGGTGGGCCAGGGGGCCGGGCCCAGCATGCACCCCCATTTCTTCAGGGGCTGATCCCTCCCCCTGCTGGGCCGGGTCCTGGGGCCACAGCGTCAGGCCGGCAGGGGTGGAGGTAGAGATGGGAGAGCAGGGAAGAGCAGGTGGAGCCACAACGGGGCACACAGAAGCGGGGGCATGGGGACAGGGGCCGGGACCCGGGATATCTGGGTCCGCGGGGGCCTCGCAGGCTGTGGCCTGTCTGCGGGACCACGGCCTCACAGCAGGCGACAGGCATTGCCCACGCTGTCAGCTGAGGTGTCAAGGTCATGGCTGTAAGGGGAGTCCCAGTCCCTTAGGAAAACGGCCTCCAGCTGGCTTCTCAGGCCACCACGCCCATTCTGTGTCACCAGCAGCGAGGTGCCCGCCGTCTCCGTGAAGTAGCTGCCAGACCAGTTGGAGGTTCCTGCCGGGCGGGGTGAGAGTGTCAGAGCCCGCGGCCGCGCCCGGACTCCCCTTCCGTCCCCTTGGCGGAGCTCGGGACACTCACCGATGTAGGTGGCGCGTTCGGTCACCATGTACTTATTGTGGTTGACGCGGGCATATGGGATCCGGGCCTGGGTCTCGTCGGCAGGGACCACAAAGAGTTTCTGAGGGCGAGGGGAGAATGAGAAGGGGCGTGAGATGCAGGGTGGGGTTGGGGACACCCCAGGGTCTGGGGTGGGGAGTGGAACCAGGTTTGCAGGACGGGAGGGGCTCGGATGTTTCCCGTAGGGCTATTGGAGCCGGAACAGGGCCTGGAGGAGTGGCTATCAGCAGCACCGACTACAGGGGAGGCCCAGTTGCCTTGTTTGCCAATCCTTCTAGAATGGCTCCTATTCGTCCCTTAGGTCTCACCACAGATGTCCCCTTTTCCAAAAAGTCCTCCTTGACCCCCTCCTCCCCAGGCTGGGGCAGACGCCTCCCGGGAACCCCGCCCCCCATCCTGGCCACGATGCCTCTGGCCAGGCCTCCTCCGTCTGGGCCCTGCCTCCTCTCCCTGTGCCCTGTCATCCTGGCCGGGCCCATGGTCTCCCCGTTACGGCACGGCGCTGTCCCTCTGGGCTGTCCCTGTCAGGTGACAGGTGAAGACAGCTCCTTGATGTCTTCAGCATTGCCCTGCACAAGGCCCGAAGGATGGGTTTGGGGTGGGGGTGGGGGGGCGCTTACCACCTGGATGTCAGAGTGGGTGTGGTTGTCACGCAGGGCGGCCAGGGAGAGCAGGAAGGAGCGCATGGATGGCTCAGAGTGTCCCCAGCAGCTGATGAGCAGCCGCACCTTGACGCCCCGCTCATAGGCCGCCCGCCGGAGCCCGTCGTCAATGGCGGGCCAGAACCTTGGGGATGGGGGCGTGGGATTCAGAGGGCAGCTTTCCCCGCGGCCTCGCCCTGAGCCTTAGAGGGCATGCTCCAGCTTCCGGGCACCCTCAAATCCCTAGACCGCCCTAGCTCTCTGGCACCCAGTTCTGTTCCTGCCTCCTTAAATCCCACGTGCCCCGTCCCATTTCTGGCTCCCATTCCTGCCCCCAAGCCCCTCATCCTGTTTCCAGCCCATACTCCCTGCTCCCTAACTTGGGAAATCCCACACTGCGCACCCCCTGCCCCAGGCCTCAGGTCCACCGCCCTGTTCCCAACCCCAGGATTGTTACCCTTTCCTCTGCCCCCTCTTCCTCTGTCTTGAGTATCCAGACCCCTCATCCCTGTCTCCTCTGCCTCTTCCACTCACGGTGGTCCCGTCCCGAGCCCTGTCCACGTGGCAGTGGTACCTGCGTGGGTGGGAGAACTCCATGGTGGGCAGGTAGTTCATGACCGCAACGTAGATGAAACTCCGGGCGTTGTCCACCACATTGAGCAGGGCCTTCAGGTCTGGGGTGCGGCCACTGGGACACAGTGGTGGGGGTGCACTCTGGGGGGGAGGGGACAATCAAGATGTGCCCTGCCAGGGGTGCCGTCACAGCGGACCCCATGCACAGACAGACTGTCCCAAGCTAGGTCTTGTGGGTTGCGCTGAATTCTCAGCCTTTGGGAAGGGCTGGGTTAATTACTACGGCTGTTTTATAGGTGAGGAAACTGAGGCTCAGAGAGGGTAAGTGATTTGCCTGAGGCCGCACAGCTGATAAATACAGCCAGGATTTGACCCTAGGCTGTTTAGTTCCAGAATTTATGCTAGGGGCGCCTGGGTGGCTCAGTCAGTTGAATGTCTGACTTCGGCTCAGGTCATGATCTCATGGTTTGTGGGTTCGATCCCTCTGTCGGGCTCGGTGCTGAGAGCCTAGAGCCTGCTTCAAATTCAGTGTCTCCCTCTCTCTCTGCCCCTCCCCCACTCACGCTCTGTCTGTCTGTCTGTCTCTCTCAAAAACAAATAAATGTTAAAAATAAAGTAAAAACAAAAAAGAATAGCAAATTCTTGGGCTTCACTGCACCCAGCATACCGAGCCAGGGTGCCACGGTGGGGCCTGGGAGTCTGGGTTTAACAGCCGCCCCCTCCCCCCGCCATGGCAGGCTCAGGTTCAAGGGCCTCTCATCACTTTGGTCCCCGACTTGCTCACAGCCCACCTTGACAGCACGCCTATATGCCGTAGCACACCAAGCCCTTTACCTGTTTCCCTCCCCGTGACAGATGAGCAAAAACTCAGGCTCTGAAGGGGAGGTGGTAATAGGGGAACCCGTAAGCTTCCAGCGAGACCCCTGGAGCAAAGGACGGCTGTGCATCACGTGTCCTTGCCTTTGTGCGGCCCTCCCACCAGGGCTCCGGGCTTGGCCATGTGACTTGCGGGTGGGGGGGGGTGCTGAAAGGAACCCAGTCGGGCGGCCCCAATTGGTAGAAATGTCAGCAGCTGAAAACGGAAGCGCCTCCTCTACAGTGCTCAGTATGTGCTGCGGGCAACCGTGGGCGCTGTCCCAGAGAACTTTCCAGAGCGATGGCAATGTTCTCGATCCGCACTGTTCAGCGTGGCAGGTGTTTGCCGCATGTGCCTACCAAGCGCTTGAAACGTGGCTCATGTGACCAAGGAATTGAATTTTTTGGCCACATTTAATTTTAACTGATTTAAACGCAAAGAGCTGCGTGCTGCTATATATAAGGGACATCACAGGGGCACCAGGGGCTTGCAGGCATGAACGCAGTGGTGACTCCCCGTCAGCCCTAGAGGTGGCACGTATTATGACACTGTTTTTGAGAGAAAATCAAGGCCTAGGGAGGCTGGGACACGGCCCTGGCCCCAGACCCACCTGTGTGAGCCAGAGTGAGTGGTCAGGACGCCCCCTCCCCGTCCCTGGGCAGGGCCAGACAGACACTGCAAGGGACAGGTCCCCTCTTCCCCAGGACTCACAGCCAGGTAGGCCAGGGCCGGGGTTCCGTTGAGACAGATCTCCATTGGTGTCTCTTGATTGTAGCGAGTGTCGTAGGGCCGGGGCCAGGTTGACGGGATGGAGCTGCCCGCCTGGCCCAGGTACCAATAGGCCTCAAAGATCTTGGTCAGGTCCCGAGCGAGGCAGCTGCAGTTGTACATGACCACGCCCAGCTCCTTGACCTGTGGGAGGGCAGTGCTGAGCCTGGCGGGGTGGCAGCCGGGGGTCCACAGATGACATGAACACCCACAGTCCCCTCTCCCCACCCTTCAGCCTTCCATCCTGCCCCTTGCCTCTCAATCTCCCCATCTTTCTGCCCCTCAGTCCCCCACCCCCCCAGCCTCGCCGCCATCACTGGAACTGAAGTCCCGAGATGAGCATGGACTTGACCCAAGGCTAAGACCTTTCGGTCTTAAGTTTTGGGAAAAATCATTTGGTTATCCCGAAATGCCAGGTTTCCTGAACTTCCGCTCATGCTTTGGCTTCTACAGAACAAGCTCCAACTCATTTGTAGATCCCGGCGGACAGCCTTCTCCTCCAGGAACCCTCCCTTGACTGCC